AATATGTAATATAAGTCTCTGGTGTCCCCAGAATGTGTCTGTGAAGTTTCAGCTCAAAATACTCCACAGATCATTTATTATATCATTTTGAAAATGCCTATTTTGAGTGGAAGCAGAAACACGCTGTTTTTCGGCTCTGTCTCTTTAAATCCAAATGAGCTGCTGCTCCCCGCCCCCTTTTCCAGAATAGAGCTGCGCCTTTACAGCTGGTACCTGCTAAAAAACATCTGTTTTGGTTCTGATTATCATGTTTATCGCGCTGAAATCATGCGTTTTAAACCATATTAGTTTAAACTTCTGATATACGGTTTTCTGAGCGCACACATCCGAAGCACACAGACAGAAAGCGGCTGTCACAGCATGCGAATACTAAACTAAGTTCTCATTCACACACAAGTTTACGTTAAAAACACACACGAGTTACAAAAAAAACAGTCGGTTATGTCTGTGAAGGTAAACAGCTGGGAAATAAATTGCATGTTTATTTTAGATCTGTGTGGCAGCAGCAATATACAGTAAATAAATCAATAAATCAGTGTTGAAACTAGTTGTGCTGCATAATATTTTGAGCTGCATAACATAATGTGGGAACTGTAATACATTTTTAAAAAGCAAAGATGCATTACATTTATCAAAAGTGACAATGAAGACATTTCTAACGTTACAAAGTTAAAACATATTCAAACAGAAAATTTCACAATGTCAAAAATATGTTTTTACTGTATTTACAATCAAATAATGCAGTCTTGGTGAGCATAAGAAACCAGTAGTGTACAAATACCAATACTGTGAATTTGCTAAATGTTTATTTGCCTAATAAACATTTATACACTTTTACATATTGTCCACATTTGTATATCTGATGTCCTCACCTTGTTTAATAAAGCCCAGCATCTCCTTCCATACAATAAACTGCAAGTGAGTCTCATGGAGGCCAAGGAACAGAGAATTAGGTGTCAAATTCACGCTTTTCACTGCTGATTTGAACCTAAAATGCAGGAGATGAATGTAACTGATGAGATATTTACAGCACTGGTAATGGTTATCTGAAGCATTGCAGTATATTGTACTACTTGGTTGTTTGAGAAGCAATGTCATTATTTTCACAGCAGCTTTCTTTTTCTTTCATCTCTTCGACAAATTCCAGCCCTTTCTCAGTCCACCACTATAAGAGAAGTAGAACCAGACAAAGAAAATAGTTATCATTTAGAGAACAGCAGCTATGAATAACCTAGTGTTAGTTTTATATGCAACAATTATGTACTTTTTTTTCCTACTCCCAAAAATCACATTCTTAAAACTGCTTTTTCACTCTCAATATTCAATGTTCATAGTAGTAAATATTCTTTGAAGATACTAATATACACCTTTAAGAGTACAAATTAAGGTACAAAGGTGCCCCTTTAAGGGTACTTGCAAGTTGTTGTACCCCTAAAGATACATTTAAAAAAAAAAATGTCTTACTGTGTTGAGGTTACTGCATGCAATGACTAAAGATTGAATTGGATTGAATACATAATATATTTTTTAATATCCAATATTCCATATTTTAAATGTTCCATATGCTGGGGATTAAATATGTAGTAATTTTTAAATATATATATATATATATATATATATAATTTTTTAATTAATTTACTATTAAAAAAATAATAATAATACAGTTTTATAATGCTATTTAAATTTTGCAGATATATGTAACTAATATGCATGCATTTCATTTTTTGGAAACAAATGTCTTGTTTTGTTCATGGTAATTAAAGATTCTTATTCTAGTGAAAGGACTATATTCAGGGTAAAAAGTCCCCATGTTAGCATTTCACCCTTTCTTAGAAAGAAGTATAATTCATTTAATTATGTTTCTTCATCAATTTCATATTTTTTATTTTTATTTTTTTTTAAATAACAGTTTTTACAAATTTTAAAAATAAAAATATTTTGATATCAAGGAAAAACACATTTTTCCTTTTGGGGGATTTGACCTCATTGTAGCCTACTGCAATTATATCTATATGATGGACTCAGTTAATTGGACAAACTGTGCTGAATGCAAATGTTCGTTTGAACCTGCAGAAACCCATCTGGCTGATCAGTCTCAAAGACTGAGCGTAGAATCCCTTCCTTCTCTCTTCCGTCATTCATCTTCTCTTCTGTTTCTGCCCTGTTTCTTTTCATCTTTTCTATCATATCCTTCTCTTCTTTCTCCAGCATTTTCTTCACTTCTTCCTCCTTTTTCCTCAGAAACTGGTGCATCTCTTCAAACTGAGCAGAGATCTGAGCAGAGAGCTGCCGAGACCTTTCCTGAGAAACAAAACATATCACAGATAGTGATGAACCCTGCGATAGTCCTTTATGGAGTCTTTAGATGGATTGTGTGATCTGTTTTCCTCTTTTGTGTGAAGTGTATTTTTCACCTCAGTTTTAGAGATCTCATTCGTCTGTTTCTTGATAAGAGCCTGCAGCTCTTCATTCTCCTTCGACAGGAAGTTCAGAGGCTCTAACAATAAATTCTACAACACACAAGACAGACTTGTGGGCATCTGACATGAATATTGCATGCGTTAGCTTAAAGCAGCGCCGCTCAGTTCTGCTCCTAGAGATCTACAGCTTCCTGCAGAGGAGCAGGATAGAGCACTTATGACTTTAAGTATTAAATGTACAATTATGCATTTTGATATGTTGGGTAATAATATTTCAACATACATATTGATTAAAAGGATAGTTCACCCAAAACTGAAAATTCTGTCATCATTTACTCATCCTCAAGTTGTTCCAAACCTGAGTTTCTTTCTTCTGTTATGAAGAATGCTGGTAACAAAACCAGCAGTTTTGGTTGTATTTTTTTTACTATGGAAGTCAAAGGGGACCAGCAACTATTTGGTTACCAACATTCTTGAAAATATCTTCTTTTATGTTCAGCAGAGGAAAGAAACTCATACAGGTTTCTGTTCTGTTTTTTATTTCTGTTTGTTCCTCAGGTTCCATTGAGGAGGACTTAAAGGGGTCATATGATGTTGCTAAAAAGAACATTATTTTGTGTATTTGGTGTAATGAAATGTGTTTATGCGGTTTAAGGTTAAAAAAACACATTATTTTCCACATACTGTACATCATTGTTTCTCCTCTATGCCCCGCCTTTCTGAAACGTGTCGATTTTTACAAAGCTCATCATTATGAAAAGCAAGGTGTGCTGTGATTGGCCAGCTATCCAGTGCGTGGTGACTGGCCGAATACCTCAAGCGTGAGACGGAAATGTTACGCCCCTTACCATACTGTGATGATGCCCTGTCAGGCCGGAGCGATGATTCAAAAACATGAAAACCCATTATAAACGAGGCATTAGTTGCATCCAGTGGGGACATAATTATGGATTATAATGACTTATACTGTCTTTTTACGCGTTGCATTGCATCGCACCGCGTAAACATAAAACCA